GTGTGTGTGTGTGTGTGTGTGTGTGTGTGTGTGTGTGTGTGTGTGTGTGTGACAGAGTGAGGCATTATTTTGCAAGAGTAGGAGTAGGAGAGAATATTGTTCGTAAATGGCCTCTTTTTCAAATACAAAATCAACCGTCTTGGTCAGCGTCAGTGGCGACGCACAGGCTTTATACCATTGAACGTACAGAGTAGAGGGAGCTTTTAACTCTTTGACCACACAGCGGACTCTTATATCCGATCACGAGCAAACCAAAGGAATCAGCAGCACGACCTGGCAATTTCACAGCATATGACAGCATGTTGCAGTCTGTCATTTGAGTTTCAGATACAGAAGGTTGAAGTGAAAAATCTGAATAAGTAACTAGGTCATGCTTCTTTTTTTTTTATACCCTTAAAACAGTGCGTCTTCGAGTGTTGCCCAATTACCAGATTGTGTAGCCACAATGGGTTACAGTAAAGGTCTAGTTGAGGTCTCCATTTGGAACTTACTTAACCCTATCTGTACGTCGTGTTTTACTATCGTATCCATACGACACGGGGAACTCTGTGCCACCACTTTCCGAAGAGGAAATTTACTCGTTAATCCGATCCGTACACTTTGCATAGCAGTCTGTCAAAATGATTTTTTGAGAAATACCTAACGTTTTAGAGAGATCTTCACACTAAAAGTTTTCTAAAATGTGAAGATTACAACCCCGGGGAACAAATTGACCTCAGGGCATGCAGATAGGGCTAACCTGCTACATATGTCCCAGGTCTTCACTCTTTGTGGTACCAACATGGGAGAAGCTATGACGTCATGCGTGGAAGACCATTTGAATTTAATTTAAGAAGGGAGTATTCAACTAGACCTTTGAGGCTCTCCCCCCCCCCTTTTCATGTTTTCCTTAATAAAGGCAATAAAGAATGCAGCATACAATATTTGGTACCACCCACCTTAGTGTGACTAAAGCCGAGATCATGGCAGGCCTGCATCACACCACAAGCACCAGCCTCAAAGTTGGTGTTCTGGGACCAAATCAGCCGATTAGCGCTCACGAAACACTCGTAAGCGTCATAGATTGGCATGTTTTGGATCTGTGAAGATTGGAAGTGTCTTTATTATAAGGGCAGGAAAAAGTTACAGACGAGACAGAATTCAAACTGCAAAGTGATTGTGAGTGTATATATATATATATATATATATATATATATATATATATATATATATATATATATATATATATATATATATATACATTATTACAGCAATATGATGGTTAAGGAGAACATGCGAACATTGAGTAGTCAAGGGTGTCATCTGGCTTTTGTGTCTGTTGACAGTGCTCCATTCTGATTCAGTGTTCGCGCTAGATTCAGGGGATTCAAGATAGATAGATAGATAGATAGATAGATAGATAGATAGATAGATAGGTAGATAGATAGATAGATAGATAGACAGATAGGGTAGATAGATAGATAGATAGATAGATAGATAGATAGATAGATAGATAGATAGATAGATAGATAGATAGATAGATAGATAGATAGATAACAATAAACCATAATAAAGCTAAGTACACTTACAGCAACGAGTTGGTAAAAGGCGTGGTTGAAGACACCGCTGCTAAAATGCACGTCCATTCTGCTTGTGTAGTCCCTGACGTGCATGATAGAAACGCCGTCATCAGGTGGTCTGATGAAGTAGCGCAGAGGTCGGTTGCCTTTAAACAGTTCGAAACCAACCTGGGGATTTACGGGGAAGAGAGGGGAGGGTATTGTGTTAAATATTGTTGTGGGAACAATTAGAATATGTGAAGCGTGCTGACAAAATGAGTTACTTCTCGGATTCAAGCCTTATGGAAGTAGAAACATCATGCTTATAAGCGAAGTTTTACAATTTATAAGTATGAAATAATAAGAGGCATGTTCTACATAAAAGTAGAGCATCAATAGAAGAACTACTAATTTGACCTCGGTGTTGATTTTGTGCCAATATTTCCTTCTGTGGACTGCGAGAAGTAACTCATTTTGTCAGCACGCCACACATATATTTGAAATCGTCTAAGACGGCCACCTATAGTCGAGGAGAAAAGCGGCTGTTATAGATAGGTGGATGTCTTAAATAAAGACTATAAAGTAAAGGGAAAAATGCAAAGAGTGGGGGGATGGGGGTTGGAAGGTAGATGTGTGTACAGATGACTTTCTTATTTAGGTGGCCGCTAGAGCACTGCATTTCTAGAGATGAGAGTAGAAAAAACAGGAGAAGATGGGAAGGCAGAGGCAGAGGCAATACAACTGTGGGAATTATCGTATCACATTATAATGAACACCAGAGCTGAGGATAGAAGATCAAGAGTATTTACTGGGTGGGCAGTGTGTGTGACTAGTTTTTAGTTCTTGTTTGTCTATTTATTTATTTTTGTTTGGGTTGTTTGTTTTGTTTTGCTTTCTGGGGTTTGTTTGTTTTTTGTTTTTGTTGTGTGTTGTTTGATTTTGTTGTTTGTTTTTGTTGTGTGTTGTTTGATTTTGTTGTTTGTTTGTTGTTGTTGTTGTTGTTTTTTGTTGTTGTTTTTTTTTTGCAGGGGGGCTACTACGGTGTTTTATGTTCCCAACAACATAATTCCGATCATTTGTGAAGCGTACTTACACTCCAGACTGAGAGGTATACAACGTTCAAACAGAGGAAGACACTCGATAAAAAAATTCTCTCCACGCGGGAACCGAACTCGGATTTCTTGTGTCCACGGTGAAGCACATAACTGCTAAACCACGGACGATGGCAATGTACTTGCGTACGTCTTCAAGCACGTAAGGGCGCAGGGCAGGGACCCTCTGAAGGACGGGAACCATCAGAGAGCCAGTAATAATATGGTTGATGTTTTGTGTCCTTATGGTCATGTATAATCCTCTCTTTTTCTCCCCACGATGCTTGAGCCCTCCCTTAGCTCAGTTGTTAATACGTTGGGCTTCGATACAGCTGAGGACGTGCCGTTAGCTCAGTTGTTAACACGTTGGGCTTCGATACAGCTGAGGACGTGCCGTTAGCTCAGTTGTTAACACGTTGGGCTTCGATACAGCTGAGGACGTGCCCTTAGCTCAGTTGTTAACACGTTGGGCTTCGATACAGCTGAGGACGTGCCCTTAGCTCAGTTGTTAACACGTTGGGCTTCGATACAGCTGAGGACGTGCCGTTAGCTCAGTTGTTAACACGTTGGGCTTCGATACAGCTGAGGACGTGCCGTTAGCTCAGATGCTATGAGACCGACTACTGAGTGGATGACCCAGGTTCGAACCTCAAATGGGGTGTTCTGAAAGTGGGTTGTTTCGGAGAGTTTTAAAAGGCTCTCTACCCATTCGGCTTGGCTCTATCGGGGATTGACGTTGAATTCGGAGGTGGGACCTCTTAAATAACCTTACAGTGTTGAAAGGGATGTTAAACTTAATAATTCATAATTTCCCATTTTCGATAAAGTTGACTCCAGGTTCTAGTCTCTTAAGAAACGCTAGTGAACTTGAGTAGCTTGGGGAGTTTTGTGTGGCAACCTGCCTGACTTGGTTCTGTCGAAGATGGACGTTAGACCAGAAATGAAATTCTGCCTCTTAGACATTCAATTCTTCAACAACAACAAAAAGAAATACGACCTAAAATCGTTCATATATTTTAGATTGTGACTTCATCTTGCTGGATTGTGCCGCTCTCGCAAGCAATTCAAATAAGTTCAAATTTGGGGACTGTTTTTTTATTTTTACACCCTCCCAAAACTCTATCAAAGATACACCTTTCAGCATCACCACAAAGCAGTGTAGTGTAATACTATGGTCAAAGCTTATAATTTCTTGTTTTGCACGACAAGGAACTTACAGTGTTCTCAAAGAGCAGTAATTATTTAGCAGACAAATTTAAACGTCTTCATTGGTGTTGAAGGTGACATTTGAAACCATGGAGCTACCAGCTTCGGACCTATGAATTCATGTGAAGCCCTGAGAAAACATCATAATTTCTCTTTCTCCTCAATTGAACTGATACTGCAGAATAGGAAGGGGGTAAAATATTAGAGAAAAAAAGTGTTGAATTTCCTCTGGTTGTCGACAAGAAAAAGAAGCAAATATTTGCCATTTTTTAAACACAGAATGGGAACATTAACCCCCTCCTCCGTCAATCGCAAATACTTCTATTTAAGATATATGGCTATTTTTTTATCGAAACCAAGACAAATGAACAAACTTTAAGATGAAGCCAAAAACTCCAAAAGCCTAAAAACTGACGATCGTCTAAGTACACCGCATCGTAACATAATTGTGAAGCAGCGTGGTGGAATCAGGCTCTCGTCAATTTTTGGGCAAGTAGAGCTATTCGTATCCTCTTAAAGCTTGTTCACTTGTCTTTATTTGGATGAAAAAACTATCCATTTATCTTGAATACAAGTCGAGATATTTGCGAAAGAATGAGATGGGGGTCACCTGTTTTCAGAGGTAAAATTAGTGAGAAAATGGCCGCTAAAGATTAGTTATTTCCTTAACTTAATAGTCCGTAGTAACTGAAAATTTATAATTTTTGAGTCTTTAATCAACGTTTTTCAGAAATGAGTTTTTTAATGGGTATGAAAGGTGTTGAGCCAAAAAACAAAAATTTGATAAAAATTCACAATCCTGGGGGAAAAATGCAAGTTTCTTCGCTTTGATTATTTTGACGAGAGCCTGATTTCACCACGCAGCCTCATAATTGTTGAATACCTTCCAGTCGTTGTTGCCCCGGCCAAATATTTCGGCCACTTCTCCAGACATGTCCGAGAAAGCTTCGTTGATGCCACCAGATTGACCACTAAAGTCAGAAAGATTTTTATCATTAAAATGTACGTTGGTATCAGGGAACATATCAAGGTGTCATAGTTGTTTAAAAATCTATTTTTTTTTAAACCAACATCATCAACATGATCATAATCATTATCAGCAGCAGCAGAAGTAGCATGAAATTGTGTACAGAGAATCCATCATTTGAGGAAGCGAGACGAGAGAAAAAATTGGTACAGACTTGGGTATACGTGGTTTCATAATAATTTTATAGAGAGATTCAACATTACGTCAAGTGGGCTTCGTAAGGAACGTGATAAAAATCATCATCGCCATCATCATCATCATCATCATCATCATCATCATCATCATCATCATCATCATCATCATCATCATCATCATCATCATCATCATCATCATCCTCACTAATAATAATAATCATCATCATCATCATTAATAATCATCATCATCAGCAGCAGCAGCATCAGGATCATCATCATTTTATAGTGCAACAAGAAAAACAAAACGTTTATGGAGACTTGGGTATTTTGGAGATATTAGGAAGTTAAAAAAATGTTCGACCTTTCGCCCTTTTCAGGTTTCATCAGGAAGATGTTTAAGAAAAAAGAAAAAAAAAACACCATTCTCCTATTCTTCCTCGTCTTCATCATCATCATCATTCTTTTTTCACAATTCTTACCACTAGTACTATTATTATTACCACCATTATTGTTATATCACTACTATTATACATGTAGTTATAAATATCATTTTTAAAAATATATATATATATATTATTATTATTATTATTATTATTATTATTATTGTTATTATCCTTATTATTATTGTTATTATTATTATTGTTATTATTATTATGATTATTATTATTATTATTATCATTATTATTATTATTATTGCTATTATTACCATTATTATTGTTATTATCATCGTCATCATCATCATCATCATCATCTTCATCATCATCATCATCATCATCATCTTTACTCTTATTATCGTTGTTAACAAGTTTATCATTATTAACAAGTTTATCATTATTGCTATGATTTTTATTTTTATTTTAAATGTTATCCATTTTATCACGTCGTTGCCGTCGTTGTTACAGTTGTTGTTGCTGTTGTTGTTGTTGCTGCTGCTGCTGCTGCTGTTGCTGCTGCTGCTGCTACTGCTTCTGTTGTTGTTGTTGTTGTTGTTGTTGTTGTTGTTGTTGTTGTTGTTGTTGTTGTTGTTCTACTATTATTGTCCATATTGTAATCATGTTACGTTTTTAATTTCAATCATCCTTTTAAGATATATGGCTATTTAGTTTTATCGAAACCAAGACAAATGAACAAACTTTAAGATGAAATCAAAAACTCCAAAAGCCTAAAAACTGATGGTGCTGCAACCGTCCCCGTAGTACATGTCCGTGCCATCCCAGAAGGCGTTAAAACATGTCTTAAGAAAGGTTCTTGAAAAATGGGTATTCATATGTAAAGCGCATTGAGCTTCTTTTTTGGAAATGCGCATATAAATGTTATATATTATTTTATATTATTATTGTTGGTGTCGTTGTTGATCAGACATCATATTTTGTTTTCTTGCTTGATGATCTGACGCGCGCGCATGTTTTGATATGACCTTATGCAGTTGCGAGCGCCGTAAAACAGAGCTCCGTAAAACGCTTACAAAAACAAACAATGAGTGGGCGGTTGGCAGGTGCTCTGCTGTAGTTTCCTTCTTCTTTCCTATCAAACATCTATCGTCCTTATCTCCCCTCCTTCTTTTCTTTATGTTTGTTACTCTCTTGTAAAACCTCTAATCTTCTGACGCTCATATTGTGATCTTATGCAGTTGCGAGCGCCGAAAAACCTCTACTAAACCCCCCCCCCCCCCCCCCCAAAAAAAAAAACCCAATGATCTCACCTGTAGATCAAGTCACTGTTCCGTGAGGTGATGCCGTGACCCAACTCGTGCGTGACAACGTCTTGGCTGACGAGGGGGTAGAAGGTGCGGCAACCATCCCCGAAGTACATGTCCGTGCCATCCCAGAAGGCGTTGTCGTAACAACTGCCATAGTGAACCACTAAACGAGGTGCGTATGGGAGTGCTCTGAAGTTGTACTTTTCCTGTGGGCGGAACGAATGGTAGACTGTTCATTCATTCATTCTTTCAATCATTCATTCATTCATTTATTCACTTATTTTTTAAATCATTTATTCATTCATTTATTCATTCATTCATTCTTTCATTTTTTCATTCATTTATTCATCTTTCATTCATTAATTCATGTGTTTCATTCATTTATTCATCTTTCATTCATTCATTCAATTTTTCATTCATCCAGCCTTTCATTAATTCATTAATTTATTCATTCATTGGTAAGTATGTAGAGTGTAAGATACAGTGTAAATATAGTACCGTAGGCCAATGACTTTCAATAATTGATGTCAACGCACCGATCATTCCTTTCATCGACAGGGGGCCCAGCTAGTTTACCATAAATACTGACAAACAATACCTCATAGAGAGTGCCTGTGATTGTGCCGAAGTGCAGAGCGTCATTGGCCACTCCAAACGCCTCGTTCACGGGATCGGAAAAGCCTTCTGAGCAAGGGAATGAGATTGTTGTTCGTTTCGTCCTGGAGTTGGACTGCTCGTTGTCCACGACCTGAAGATGCAATAATGATAATGATAATGATAATGATAATAATAATAATGATAATAATAATAATAATAATAATGATAATAACAACAACAATAATAGGACCAATAATCATAATCATAATAATAATAATAATAATAATAATGATGATGATGATGATGATGATAATAATAATGATAATGATAATAATAATAATAATAATAATAATAATAATAATAATAATAATAATAATAATAACAATAATAATAATGGTAATAATGATAATAATGATAATAAATGAGAAGAAGAAGAAGAAGAAGAAGAAGAAGAAGAAGAAGAAGAAGAAGAAGAAGAAGAAGAAGAAGAAGAAGAAGAAGAAGAAGAAGAAGAAGAAGAAGAAGAAGAAGAAGAAGAAGAAGAAGAAGAAGAAGAAGAACTGTTTATGTCCTGACGGGGCGCTCAGTAAACTAAAAACAAGGTAAAATCGTACGGTACATACATTTGTGTATCGGTTAGTCATAGTGCAGGTGTTTCCAACCACTTGCGGCTTCAGACATAGTCCGTTGGTGTTGTATACAGTGCGGCCTGTCTTGGGGTTCCCGCCAACTCCAGCGACGCTGGGACTGCACGCTATCAAGAACATACGATTTAGAGATTGTAAATTAAATATCATTGAATTAATCTTACTATCATCATCATCATCATCATCATCATCTTCATCATCATCATCATCATCATCATCATCATCATCATCATCATCATCATCATCAATGTTAGGAAAGCAGAGTAGGAGGGAGAGCCTTGCTTGATTTTCAGACAAAACAATGATGTAAAAATGTAAAATGTTTAAAAATTGTTTAATTGATAAAGCTCAACGTTTCGCCTCTTGGGTTTCCTCAAGAGTAACTGAGAGTAAAAAAACTAAATGGGTGCTGTATCATAGCAGAGGAATGGCCATCATTATCATTATCATCATCATCATCAGCAGCAGCAGCATCAGGAAAAGTCGGTTTCGTACGGGCACCGATTTAGCAGACCACCTCCCCCCTGAGGCAGAGAATTGATGGCCGATCAATCTGGTGAGAGCTTGTCCATGGGAGACCCGTGGCGAAATCGAAATCCAGACAGAACTGAAAGGAGTGAAGAGCAAAGGTTTGATCCTGTAAAGGCACGTGAAGCTGCAGAGGATGTGATCAAAGAAGTTGGTGACGATGTGACCATTTTCACCGATGGATCGGCTGTCGCAGGATACCGTGAAGGTGGAGCAGCAGCAGTGGTGATAATGAATGATGAACCACCACGAACAGAAATCATTAAAACTAAAGGTGCATTCCTTACATCATCTTATGACGAGGAGTGCCAGGCAATGATGTCTGCTGCACAATGGATTGCTGACAATTGCCACGGTAGAACCAATGTGCTGATCTTGACGAACAGTCAGTCCCTCTGCAAGGGACTGCTAAGCAACAGCTCGGACATAAATTATTTGCCCTGCAAGTTCAGTGAAGCCACAGCCACAATAAACATTCTGTGGATTCCAAGCCGTGTTGGAATCGAAGGAAATGGGACAGCAGACCTAGCTGCTAATGAAGCCAGAGAGATTGAAGGAGACAGACGACCAACAACATACAGAGGATTCTTTCCAATGATCAAGAGGGAAATTAGAGACCCACCATGCAGAGCTAAGTACCAGCACCAGGAAGATGTGTATTCTGGGTACTCCAATAAGCGGGAACAAAATATCACATGTCGCTGGGACCAGGTTGAGCTAGCGAGACTGCGAGCGGACCATCATTGGAGCTTGAGATGGTAGAAGAACTTTGTAAATGAAGAGCTCAGCCCACGTTGCCGAAGATGCGGCCATGAAAAGGAGGATGTCAAACATATGTCTGACTGTCCCGGAACAATGGCAATTCGAATGGAGTTATTTGGCCGAGTGGAGGGGCCGCTAAGCAATGGAGCCGAAAAAGAGCCTCGCTCTCGCTCGAAGATTTCTTCGTGGAGTCCGCCAAGTCCATAAAGGAAACAAACAAAAATCATCATCATCATCATCATCAAAAGCCAGATCTGAAGCAGACATCAGCATTCAATATTATTATTACCTTGGTCTGTCCCCGTCACTCGTCTGTTCAATTTTCTAAGTTAGTTGTTCTCGGTCAAGGTCTGCCGTTTTTTGCTTTCCATTTTTCCAATGAGGGCAGGGTGTTCAGAAGCTTTATGTTGATTAAAGTGCCCCAAAAAATCTGCAATTTGTCTCTTCGTAATTGCTTTTCAAGATCTTATCCAGCGTGTTTATTTTTCTGTTTCAACCCTCATGAGTGTCAATTTCTGGCAGCACTGGTCCGAAAGCTTGTAACCATATTTGTTTCTCTTATTTCATCATCTTATTTCGTCAATTCACTCATGTGTGAACAGGTACTCGGTCATAAACAGCAAAAGATCTTGTCAGTATGTTAGTGTTTTAGTTTTAGCTCCTGCTAAATACCTGCTTGCACCATACGAGTATACTTCCCAGGAAGTTGAGATTATTTCAGAATGCTATCAGGTAATCAGGTCTGCTGAGATAATACTATAATATTATTAAGTGCATAGAGCTTGCTGCTAAGAGGGAATTTGCGCTATACAAATGCAATATACCATTATTGTTAATGAAATAATAAATAACATTTTGTATAGAGTGCATATCCCCGATCGACAGCAAGCTTTATGTACATTATGCATGCACTGTATTATTGCCCCAGCAAGCCCTAAAACTCTCAGATACATCCTCGGCTTCCAGGGAAGCATGCAGTGCAAAACAGTTGATTGAGCTGTGAAACACTTTGAAAAACTGACAAGATTTTCCGTTGTCTATGGCTGGGCACCCGTTCTCACGTGGGTGAAGTGATGAAAATTTTTTATATAATGACTTTCCCAATTACACAACGTCGAAACACCGGATGGGATTCGAACTCACTAACTTACGGTTGGAGTACAAGACATGACCTCTAAGCCATCGACGCCACACAAATGTTACTATCATCATTAACTTATACCCTTAATTAAAAGGAACATGATTAGCAGAAAATTAAATGAGCTCTGAACACACAGAATTCGTTGATTTGAAACCTGAAAGCTTTAGAAAGAATAATAAGATATACACGCTTGTTTCGTTTACTTCTTCTTTGCGTAATTGCGTACCTCTTATGTCGTTTGCCGCTAAAATATACGGCGGTTCATGTCATCGGCGTCACGCACTTAATAAATCCTGTATGAGCTGTTTCAGAAGGTGCCATGAGTCCTTTTCACATTAAACCTTGTTGGCTTCAGAAGTTAGGATTTATCCTTCCTTCCCCTTTCCCTCTTAAGTCTTTTCCTGAACATTTACTTAGACACCCATCCATGTTCTCCTAGTTTTTCGAGCGCTCTCTTTATAAAAATACAGCAACACGCTAACAGTAACACGCTTACTCATTCATTCAGTTTCACTCTCTCTCT